TGTGCCAATAATAAGAACATGTTTGTTGTGGCAAAGTGTTACACTTTGAGACACAAAGAAAGGATCCTTACTTAAGATATTGGTGAACTCAAGGGTTTGCCAAATAATATATGAATTCCTGTGGGTTATGTGGTCAGTCGAGGAATTTGAGAGTCACCATTGTTATTCACAGTTTCAGTCCTTCCAAGATTGAGTTAGAGATAAAGCCAAGTAATACATTTTCAGTATTTTCCTACTGTTTCTTCATTTAATCTGATGTACATATTGTGTAAAGGGTATTTCATAACATGCTAACTTTTTTATCCTCTAGACAGTACATGTTAGAACCCCATTCCTACCAAGAGCAGCTTAATACAATGAACTCTGACTCGGTTGGTGTGTGAAATGAGTTCTAACTCATCTCTCAGTGGTTTGGTCCGACAGCAAGGATTTTTCAGTGTTCTAGATAGAGCTGAAATGCTGTGTACAGCTGCATATTTTTTACCCCAAATTAATGATGTCTCAGTATATGGATTTAATACTTTACAGGAATTTCAATCAAGGAGAGAATGCTGTTGGCAAAGGAAACAAGTGTGCTGTCTGAGGCTATGGTTCTCGTTTGGGAAAGGAGTGTTGACAATCACATGAGGTGGGAATTACTGTGGGGTGTGCACAGCACTGTGGTTAGGAGCTTGGGAATCAGGAGGTTTCTACTTCACCACCTACTAACTGTGTGACTTGAACAGCTTACTCCCCTCTCTGAGCCTCAGTTTCCTTTTCTGTAGAATAGGAAGCCTCTGTTACACCTTTTCATGAGAAGACTCCCGGAACTGTTACAAGGATTAAAAGACATAAGGTAGGTTATCATCGGAAGCGGCATGTGGAGAACGGTCAGTCTCTGATGCGAGGCTGTGAGTCGGCCCAGGTCCGTGAGAACGAATAGGGTAAGAGTTCTCCGGGCCTGTGACTGAGCCCGGGCATCTCACCTGCCCCTCTGCCCAAGAGAGAATTCATCATTCAAGTCGGTCCCCCGGACCTCACTAGGGTCAAATGTCAGAGTTACTATTTTACTTATACGGTTGGAGTGTAGTCCTAAATAACTTAGCTGCCACGTTTTGTTGGTTTATTGCCTTTAATACTGAAGATACGGAGGATCAGAAACTGATAGTTATTAGTAAGAAATGTCACTGGAATTTGGATTACAACGTTTGAGTTCCTTGTGTTACATACATGCAACACACAATCGACCATGAAGGAATTGAGAAGTTACCAACCTTTGGTCCATACACTAACCTAATGGGATCTACAGATCAGTTACCCTGAATCTTTCAACTTGGATATAAATTAGGAGGGACCAACCAGAGACAGCTGAGGCCACAATATAACAGTATCATTCGAAAAGCCACTAAAATGAACATGGGAAGGCGCTGGGAGATGTCATGCAAATGTCAGGCCATTTTCATTATACTTGAATATGGGCAGGGGTTAGAATACTGTAACTAATTTGCAGCTGCACAATGTATACAGGAAACTATGTCTGAATAACATCCCTGGGGACCGGGAACCCCAAAGCACATAATGTTGCTAAGATGTGGAGCCACCCAGATGTCTCAGAGCTCAGGACCTGCTGCTGAGTCCCAGATCTCAGAGTCCTTTGTAACTGTGCCCCTAGCCTCAAGCTCCTCCATACTTCCAAGGTCAGATCTTAAGGAAGACCTCAGGATCTCAGGTTGTGCCTATAAATCCAGCTTGCCTGCCCCCACATCACCGCAACTCAATCCAGGAGTCAAAAAGGAGACCCAGAGCTCTGTGTTCTGGATAGGACAGCCCTGTCCCCAGCTGTTCACATCGTCATGGCGGGAGTGAAGAAGGGGGCTCAGAACTCTGAGCAGTCTTGACAAGCTCCCTCCGATCCCCCGGGTTTTTACTGATTTCCCATCATCCTGCCTTGGGCCCTCAGGAGGTCTCATTATTCCCTGTATCTCTCAGGTTTTGTTCAGTGATGTACCTGCACACAATAAGCACTCAGTAAATATTTATTTTGTAAATGAATGCATAAATAAGGAAATAAATGAATCCTGCCCCAAGCTGTGGTAGCCACCACAAGCTATGAGTATATTAAGTCCAAAGACCCAGAGACTAGTGCCCAGGGGTATTTGCATTTGGCGTCCTTTAGACTGGGTATCAGCGGGATAGTGGGCACGTGCTGGGAACTGCACTTGTAGCTTTCAGAATAAAGGCTCGATACCTCTGCCACAGAAAGCTGAGACAAGCTATCTTGTCGAAATACGTCATTAGGGAAATGACTGTGAATCTTTTTCGACTAAGTGTCCAGATGTTCTGATTACCTTCAATCCATACCGCTATTAACTCCCAGATCTTTCTTTTCTAAGATTGGTGAATAGATTGGTGAATAGAGAAAAAGTGATACAAATAATAAGATATATATATATATATACACACATATATATATCTCTCAAAAAGAGGAGGAAACACATCAAAATGTAAAAGAGAAACATGAGGCTAGAGATTCCTCCATACTTGGCACATGGGAGCCTCTTATACACGTTTATTTAATAAATGAGTGGATGGATGGATGGACAGATGTTGAAATCGTTGAAATCTCTAAAAGGGAGGGAACAGGTTAAGTAAAAGCGTGATCTCTTTAAAAGCAAAGGATTTCACTACTTGCAGGCCTTGTTTCTTTATTTCTTTAAATGATCACATTTCAAACTGGTGTAGGATCATTTTAAGAAGTCTTCACAGATTGTTATAAAGGATATGTAGATATGTGTCCACAGTAAATATTAATTAATTAGAGACCATATAAATCATATTCTTGATAGTATAACAGAATAAACTAACCAAACGACCTGGATATATAACACTGCAAATGTGTGAGTCTTTTAACAGTATCATTAGTCTTCATAAAAATGATTCAGTGTATGCTTTGTTTCTAGAAGTTAGTCATTGCTTAGTATTTAGTGCCCTTTATTTTACTTATTTCATATTTAAAATTAAGACATTGCACAGCAACAAGGACACTGCTGGCCTACAAGTCAGAGCTGTGGGTTCTCCGTGGGGGTGGGAACGACGGTGTCCTGGGAAGGCTGCTGTGACCCGCCTGCCGTGTCTCAAGCACTCAGTAAACGAATGTGTTTTCGTTTTGGATTTTGAAAGAAAAATCATCATCTGAATATTCAGTCATTATGCTCCACTGAAATTTCTGTCAAAATCCTTCTCGGTGACACACCCCTAACGGTATGCCCGTCTGTGTGCTGGGTGGGCCTCCTCTGTTACCAGGATGGGTGTGGGGCTGGAACTAGCCCGGGAGGCCCGGACCGGGAAAGGTGAGAGCAACTACGTCACATGGGAACGGGAGGCTGGGTGCGCTGATGTGGCTGCATTCTGGCTGCCCGCACAGACGCTGCCTCAAGCTCCCCTTTCCCAGGTGACTCCGCTTCCTCTGTGAACTCCACACCTTTGCTTGACCGAAGGCTTTATGGTTTCTTGATAATCAGAAATGGCCATTAGTAGATGACTGCATATTCCAAAGGATGCAAGTATGTTTTAATTTTTCAGAGTTCTCGTTTCATGGAACCAAAGGTTTCCTGAGTTAGGGAGATGCTCCAAGTTCATCAAATCCATTTACCTTCAGCAACTGTAGAATCTAAGGTGCAATTTCTTCTCATCTCAGTGCTTATAATCACGACACATAGGCACATGGAGAAAAATATTACAGATCAGAGAAAAAGGACAGAACAAGAAATTCTAAAAAAGGATATGTTTTTTTTTCTTCCTGGCTATCAAAGCTCATTGGTTGATATAGTTGCACATATAATTTTTTTATAGATGTTGTGGTCCCAAGAATGTAAAAAAAAAAAACACATGTGTAAAGCTTTGATGATGATTTCATTTTAAGAACAGAAGAATTTTAATACCTTTGCTGTATTCATGTTTACTTTTAAAAAGAAAAATGAAGATGAAATTTCAAAACGCATCGTGTTGTCCTTAGCCACAATGTCAAAGCAATGAAAGGCATTTCATCACAGATGGGATGCTACAGCTAAGTGAATTAAGGAGGAAGTTAAGGTTTTCATTTCTAATTTTCTTCTTTTCTGCAGTGGACATCAGACACTTAAAGATTTTATAAAACTTTACATTTTATAGTAAACACAGAGAAATATATATATGTTTATCTCTGCGGGAGTGTTGTGTACATCCCTGCAAATATTACTGAGTATACACAATTAGTATAATCCATGTAATACTGGAAATTTCCTTGGTCACTTAGAAGGAATTCTCTGGCTTGCATACTATTTTGTACTATCTTTTCCAAGTCTGGGGCAACATGATCTTTTTCGTGGAATCCACAGCACAAAACAAAAGTTTCAAACAATTTCATGAAGGCAGTTTATCTGTTTTGCTTCTTCCAGGTGCTGTGGGGTGTTCCTGCTAGCATCATTTGCATCAAGTTCGAAAGGAATGAAAATCCAAATACAATTAGGAAGGGGAGATGAGAAGAGGAGAGATTTCAAACCAGGGTGGATCCTTTCATTGTGCTGGGGGGAAGAGGACTGTGATGTATCTTTGATAACGGCACTGGAGGAAATGAAGTACTGATTGCAAGCCCGGGCTGAGATGAACGTTAATACGAGGGGAATCAACATTATCCTGATTACTGCACGTGAGAAACAGATGTGACCCCCTCCCTTTTCTGTGGATGTAACAAAAGGCATTGTGCGTGCTCAGGCAAACTGGGTGGGAATAACATATGATGCATATACTTATCATAAAAGGAAGGGGTTCCTGAGTCATTATCAAAACTTTAGAAACAGCCCAAGTTTGGCATGCATGTAGGTTCTGATTTAGGTTATAATGGAGGGAAAAAAATCCCTATTATTCAGCAACTGCTTGGTGCAAATGTCAAAAATATGGTGTGTTGTTATAGCCTAAACAGTTAGTACCTGGATGCCTCCCGGACCCCATTCATAACTGGCCCCTGCTGCACACAAACTCACACAAACCCATTCATTCCTAGCTGCTCTTGAAGATTTAGCTCGTGACTGCTTGAGTAACCCCCACACAACAGCTCTTCTTTCTTTGCTCTTCTTGAAGTCCCATCCTCAGTGACCCCAGAGCACAGCGTTCACCCAAATCAGCCCAATGAACAGGCTATGAGCAACCGAGAAAAACAGTCCTATCTCATTAGTCTTACTCCTTACTTCATTCCTGCTCCTTTTGGGACCACTGGCAACAAGTCTTACCTTACTTTTCCTGCCCTTCACTCCTCTTATGATGGCATCTGTTATGCTTCTAAAATACTAATTGTGTTCCAAAGAAATCCACTCTAAACAGTAGGAGAAACATGGATTAACTAAACTTTCCTGTTGCACTGAACTTAATTATATTACCATAGATTTGGTCATAAAATAAGTCATTTCCTGATATTATAACACAATAGAGAAAGTCAAAGCAGTCCTTTGAAAAGCTACTGGAACTGTTTTTAATGTTATTAGGAGAATAAATGTGGAGGACCAATGTGGTATATTAAATGGAAAAATAATATGAAGGTATAAATGTAGTATAAAGTAACAGAATTTTCTTCTGAATATTGTGTGTGTGTGTGTATATATATACATATATATAATATTTATACATATGTAAATTTTATATATCAGATGGGAGACCTTATATTTTAAACCTCACAGAATGAAAGAAAATTTGAGACATTATCCAAACCTGCCTCCTGTATAGTGAGTGTAGTTAGCATATGACTGAAATGTCTGCTGAAAACCTCATAGCAATTGAAATGAGCCTTAAATTACCTCCCCACAATCACCTAATTCTTCTCCCCATCCCCCCGCCCCAAATCACAAAAACTGACATCCCTAACCCCCTCGGTGTCAGAGCTAGGTGCAAGCAGACAGAATACGGACAGAGTAAAGTTTGTAATGAAAAGCTGGCTTCCTGCTCATACGCTGACCGCCTTGCTGCTGGAGAAAGTGCCTTGATTGCACTCACAGAGCCTCATTTTTGGCACATCTTTGACCAGTTAGGCTGGCCCAGATTCTGCCCATGCTCTGCAATTCCTCATTCCTCCCAGGGAATTGTTCTGCCTCCTCCACAGCTCCTCCTCCTCCAATCAAGGGGCTGACGCTGCCCATTGACCACGTTTCTTTTTTCTGCCTTTTGGCACTGGGAGCTTGTCTGCTGTAGGATAAAAGTGGAATTCTCTGCTGTCTGCAGGGCTTCCCCCAGGGACCAGAGCATGAAACCCAAACTTATATATAAAATCATATCCTGTTTGCAAACATCATATTCCCTTTGCTTCTCACTAATCTGGACCTGTAAACCCCAGCACAGCTTGAGAGCCCATTCCTCATCTAAACAAATGCCATAAGCCCCTTTATACTTTTACAACCATGTCAAAAAATAATATTGCCTGCCAATAGTGATGTGATTGGAGTTGCCTCCTCCAAGCCATAAAAGAAGTGCAGAGTCTGTTATCAATTTCTCTAAGTGTATCAGGGGAATTATGGGTCGATTCAGTTCCAAGTTATAAATGACAACTCAAAAGCCGCAGAAGCGTTTGAAGCTGGGAGCTGATGACGACATTATCATAAAAGCCTGCTCGTCCTTGCTTTTGTGGGTTTTTTTTTTTTCTTTCCTTTGCCTATCAAGTGAAGAGGGAAAATAAGGCTGAGAAATGACTTCAAGATTTCTTCACACAGCAGCACGTCAGATGGCCAGGAAAATGATCACTATTTTTGGTGATACATATACCCTGAGGAGGGAGAACTAAAATGCCCTGCACTGGCTTTGTTTCCAGTGTCCCTTAATTATCGGTCTCACTCTACGATGGCCAAGTCCTGGGATTTGGTGCAATGCTCTTTGCAACTGATGCATTTTCTTGTAGTGCAATCACACAGTAATCAGAAATGAGTCATGCCATAGTAACTAAACAAATGAAAACCAAACACGAAGGAATTCAGAAACCTTGAGATGGTTGCTCAAAATGCAACTTAGGAGAGCGTATTTTAAAGCTCCTTAAGTACCACTCACCCACAGAACAGAGCAACACTGTTGAATTATCACATGGAATTTCAGGGGGTAGTTTCTGATTTCATAATGTCTCCAGTAGTCTCCTCAAAAGCCAATTAGTCATCAGCATTCGGTAGGTATGTAAATAAACTCATCTATTAGGAAGGCATATATTCTAGGTAACTGGAATTTACTTTTAAGAGTTGGGAAGCATTAAGTATTTTAGAATTAATTAATTAATAGTTAATCCTCACCCAAGGATATTTTTCCATTGCTTTTTTAGATAGAGTAGAAGGGAGGGAGGGAAGGAGGGAGGGAAAGACAGAGACAGAGAGACATCGATTGGACTGGGGCCGGGGACAAACCTGCAACCTAGATACACGCCCTTGACCGGGAATTGAACATGACAGATACCCTCTGGTCCACGGGTCGATGCTCTAACTGCTGAGCCAAACTGGTCCAGGCAAGTATTTTAGAATTTAAACCAATGGGTCCATCTTAGACAATCTAAACTAGAAGAGCGCCCTAGGACAAGAGCCATTTCTGCGGTTTCCAAGCTCCCTAGGGTGCCTCGATGTTGCCAAGTTGAGCCACACCAAGTTCACACTGGGTATCTTTCATATACTTAATATGTCTAGAACTGTCCTGGAGGTAAACATTGAGGACCCAGAGATTATCTTAGGATTTTTTTCAAAACCAACAGTCTTAGGGGGCAAGATGGTACCTTAATGTCTAATAACATAATTTGATTCCTGAAAGAAACAGAATGAATCAAACTAGTTCTTTAGTACATCAACAGGACAAGGTTGCGTATATACACACTCAACGAGATCTGCCAAAAAACCACCAGAAGATCTATAGGCCAATTTGATGGAGGTACCTCTCTCCAGCCCTTTCCAGTATTAATGCAGCCAAACTAATCAGTCTTTCTCCTCCTGCCTCTGATTGCCCAAGCTAGCCTTACTCACCACCACTGCCACCATCTGGATTAGGTCAGTGTCTGAGGACGTCATTAAGGACTTATTCTATGATGTCCACTGTGTCAGAAGTAGCAGACACTATTCATTCATCGGGCACATCTAAGAGTTTACTAGAGCAGTTCTGGCTAACAATAAGAAGTTACCTTGGTATAGATTTAGAGCAGTTGAGCAGAGGTATTTTGTGTTCAAGGCACAGTGAGTAATAGGCACAGCCCAGTTCAGACTTAGGAGGTGGTCCTGGGAGCTGTCCTCATTTCAGCCCTGGGTCACGAAACAAATGTGCCTATAAATGAGTGGGGTTCGGGGACCACCACTCTTTCACAACAGTTTTGACTTCCTCCCCATCACCATACCCACTAAGTAGTCCTTAGCTTTGTTTCATTCTTTGCTTCATTTACAGGTAATCAGCCATTCCCTTAACATGGCCATTTGGGATGTTAGGAAATAATCTCAAAGCCAATGAAACCCATTTTAAAAATCAGTGGTGTCCTCTGCTTTCTAGAATAATTTTGCAAGCTCCTGGCTTCACAGGAGGTTTGATTAGCAAAGATTAATATGGGGTGATGACTGTCCTGTGCTGGGGGTCAAAAATCCAAGCTCACTGGTGAGCTGCCACAAAGGGACCTCACTACACTAGCCGCAGGGCTGCATGGCTAGGCTCCAGGGGCTGAGGCTAGCATGTCCGATATAACAACCACGGGGGGACCTGAAATGCTCTTCTGGAACTCCTCCACAGGGACATGCTTGTCCATCTCACACTTTTAACCTTTTACCATCTACTATGTGACTTCAGGAAAATAACCTCACTTCTCTGACAGGTTCTCATCTGCAAAATGGTGTTAGTAATAATGACTATTTTACCAAGTTGTTATGTACCTCTGTTGTATGTTGGTAAACTGTAAAGTCCAACCAGATGTTAGTTGCAGTTGTCATTCATATTTCTAGAGGGCAGCATCACAGGTAAAGGAATAGATTATCTTGGATAAATCTAACATCACTAAAATGAAAGAATTAGCTGAAAATATATGGGGATTTCCTATATAAAATGTAGCTATAGCAAAATATTGCCTACTACATGGCATACACAGGACTGGTTTTGTTCTTTCCCTTCAACATCCAAGAAACTTGAATTGACTTAAATGTCTTAGTCCTTGGAAACCTGACCTAGAATTAAGCTGTCCTATCGTGAGTTAGCACTCAGCTCTACAGGATGGTGGTTTATTCATGGCAAGGGTTAACTTTGAATAGATTGTAGGCTATATGGTATGTTCTAGTCATCCACAAAAATGTAGACATTTTTCTTCATGTGTTGCAGGATTCTAACAAATTTGTCCTTGCAATGTGGTAAAAAAATCTTGGGTCAAAAAGACAGTTAATTACTGAAGACAAAAATGGCCCCAGGACGTTCAGAAACATCATGCCCCACAATGCAAAGTGCTTTGAGAAGTTTATGCCATTTTCATCAGGAATACCAATGTATGTTCATACTCAGTGTGACTACTGCAAACTGAATTTCGCTACAAAACTGTGTTAAAGCTTCTTGTATTACCTTTTGTCCCGCTATATAAAAATCCAGCAAAGCCAGCTCAGTGAACATGTGGCCTGGGCAGTCACAGAGGGCCCTGCAGTCAGACGGGACCCACACTGGTTTAATTCGCTTTTGTCACCATCTTGAAATTCTCAGTTTTTGAACAAGGGGATCTGTATTTTCATTTGGCACTGAGCCCTTCAAATGATGTAGCCAGTCCTGCGGTCCAGTATAACGCTTACTGAGAAACAGCCTCAAACATAACCGGATAGATAAATCAAAGGAGATATTTCTGGAAGTTTGTTATTTAAGAGCAGTAAACAAATTCATACTTACCCCAAGTCCACCACAAGGTAATGAAGAAAAAAACTTTTGAGAGGCATCACCTATACAGTGAGAAGACATGAAAAAAGTAGATAAATTGGGAATACAATTATCATTTTAGAATTTTTAAATTTTAATATTTCTAAACACTATAGTTTTTTGATAACTGTTT